GGAGCAATTAAGGCAAAATTTACCTTTGTTCAGTTTCTACACACTCATACACCCTGTCTTCCATCCAGACAAGCAAGAGACTTGTGAAATTTCTTCTCTGGCTCAGATTAAAATATGATCTGAGGAACAACTTCTGGTTTACCTGGCTAAGAAGTGCACTGAACCTCCAGCAAAGAAAGCTGTCAGTGCATTAGATTTTCGATCTACAAGCGTATTAGTTTGTGACTTATCAGTGCATTGGAGTGATTACCCTGTCCATTGCACTGAGTATGGCCGGCATTACTGTATTTTTCGCTCTATAAGACGCACCAGACCATAAGACGCACCAGACAATAAGATGCACCTAGTTTTTGGAGGAGGAAAACAAGAAAAAAAATATTCTGAATCTCAGAAGCCAGAACAACAAGAGGGATCGCTGTGCAGCGAAAGCAGCGATCCCTCTTGCTGTTCTGGCTTCTGGGATAGCTGCACAGCCTGCATTTGCTCCATAAGATGCACACACATTTCCCTTTACTTTTTAGGAGGGAAAAAGTGAGTCTTATAGAGCAAAAAATACACCAATATGTGCAAGGGGAAAAAATATAGAGAGGCAGAAAGACTATCCCCCTTCATGGGCGACCTGCAGAGACCTGACTTCCCCCCACAGCCTTACTTTCTGCCCTTGTGCCTCTTTATTCTGGCCAATACAATGTAATGGTGAGTTGCAATAAGGAATTACAACTGTCATCGTTGACAATCACCATTAGACAACTGTCCGCAATCACTGACATATTTACTTCATAAATTTGGCCACTCATTAGGCATGTCAACATTCTCAGTGTCAACAGTCCTGGCATTTTGGACATTACCAGACCAATCCTACCTTACACTGGTTGTGGGATGAGGGGAGATATACAAATTTTGCTATGGGCAGGATGGGAGGGGGACAATTTTGTTTACTGCAATGGGAGGGAATTTTCCAGTTTCAGGATCACACCAGGGAAATGACAGGGCTAAGATCTTTGCCCCACCCTTGGCACACACCCAGTGTCATGAACACATCTGCCCCAAGTAGAGAGGCACAGCATGAGTTAAGAAGCAGCCAGCAGCAAGAAAGCTCACATTTCTCTCAGGCACCTGGGAGCAGTCGGCTGTCTACTCCCCCGCCCCCTGACAATGAAAGGAATGCAGAGGGCAGGAGGAGAGAAGCCAACTCGCTCAAGAAGCATAGGCAGACTCAGAAAGCAGGAGGGGGAACATTTCCTCACCAGAAGAGGAGGCAATTAATCCAATGAGCCCAAGGAGTAGACATATGGGAAAGGTATTAGCCAGGAAACAAAACCAGAAAGGTAAGGGTCATAGGTTCAGGGTATTCTGCAGAAGCAGGAAGAATTCCCCAGAAGGGTCAACTGATTCATAGGGTACGGAAGCTCCAACAGAGCGTCTGAGGCTGATTGTTTCTTTTGCAATAAATCTTCAAGCTAATTACGACTTGCGTGCTGTGTTATCAAGACGGCAGCCTGGGCTCCTGACACCCAGTAAGCTCTGCATCTATCCTTGTGGTGGAACATCACCAGTGGAACAGCTATACCCATGAAACTTTCTGTAAGTGGTCCAGGGCATTTATGTCCAAGCCAGCATTGTCCCACTGACATATCGCTGTCAGTGGAGTAGTACACTGCTCTGCTTTTCAAGACCCTCAACTGGCTTACCAGTGACGGTACTATATAAGTCTCTCTTATGCTGCACAAAGAAGAGCCCATTAATCACATTCTAGAATATTATCAGAGAAACAAGTAAGTAGGCACAGAGTTGACACCTGGTTGGTTGAAAATCACTTCCAGATTTATCCTTCAATTCATTTTAGAACACCATGACTGAGCAGCTGCTTTTAATAATGAAAGATATTTATAAATTGCCATAATAACATTGTTTACTGTTTGCATTGCCTCTCTCAGCCTGGTTCATTAGCTATCATTAAAAGCTTTTCACAACATGCTCTCTGCATATATAGAAATGTTGAGATGCCATCTTAATGGGAAATGTTCTATTTGCAACGCACAGCACAGCAAACAATATGAATGGAAGGCGGTTTGAAGGAGGAGTAATTGTCATTTTTTTTTAGATCCCCAAAGATATCATAGTGACAGAGCTGAAAGATTTCCAGATACTGCACATGGAAAAGAGCTAGAGGTTTCAAGCTAAGTTGAGAAATATTCTGTGGAAACTGAAGAGCATGTGGCAGCTGCAACAGCAACTCTTCTTCATGCATTTGCAGATGGAATTGTCTATATGGTTTTCCATCTTTAAGGACATAAGAATTGCTTTGCTTTATCAGACTAAAAGTCCATCTGTTCCAGCAGAGTGAACAGCCATATGCCTCAGGAAGCATTGTTACACGTATATGTGGGAAACTTCACTCCATGTAAGAACCCGGAAAAAAACATCGCTTGAGAGAGGAGAGATCTTTTGCATGGAGAAACAATCAAGTACTGTTCTAATGTATGCTTAAGCCATACGTATCCCCCTAAATATGTAATGACACAAGACTTATTTTTTATTACAAGAAAGAAAGCCTACATAAATTAATTTCACGGTAATGGATGTGGGCAAAATACGTTTACATATAAAAACCACAGGTACACTTAATTAATACATTCATACTCCTGACCTGAAGGAATGATGACCTTATTCTGTAGTAAGTACAAAAGTAGGTGAGTTACTTATGGACTCGGAAGATCGAGATAGAAGCAAAGTTACCATTTTGCAACTAGGGCAATCCAACAATAGAGTGAATGAAAGATGGTCAGGACCCAAAGCTGGGATGAATACCTCTGTACTTGAGAGAATTAGGGTCTCTCTGATAAATAGTTAGGCAACAAAATCTTACTAGTTCCTTTTCTGATATCCAATGGAGCACTACAGTTGGTCCTCGAGGGCAGTGTAGAGGATGTTGAGCCTTGTTGAAGTCATGCTATGCTGATTAGGCCATTCAGAATGGCAGCCTTAAATGAGATTTTGGATATCATAGGTGGATATATAAAATGGGAGGCGGAGTGATGTCATAAGAGGAGGAAAATAGAAGTTTCTTGTGAAACAAAAGCTGGTAACTTTTTTCTCAAATGTGCTTAATGATTGTCATTTTGTTTACATGAGATGCCTAGCGTAAATTCCTGAATTCAGAGTAAACAAGCTTTCTCTTTCTAATTTTAAGATGTCATAAATCATGCCTGGGCTGACCCTAATGTATGTTTGGAGAAAATTTGTTCTCTGACAGGCCTGGGAGAAGGAAATTGTGTCCTATTTTGCCACCTGAGGTGAAACAAGAAGGTTCTGCCCCACCCCACTGCTGTCACCCTGCTGCCATGACCTCTTACCTGGCTTGTGTGATGGCGCCTGTGAAGCAGCAATGATGGCAGGTTCTGATGAGCTCTTGCGAACTCTCACAGACTCTCACGAGATCTTGCTGGAAGCCACCACTGCTTCTCTGTTGGTGGTGGGGGCCTGTGGGGGATGCTGCTTCTTGGTGTTTCAGTGCCCAAGGCAGCTGCCTCCCCCTGTCTCGTGGGTGGGCTGGCCCTGATGGGGAGTTTTCCCCAATGTCGTTGATGACTTATCAGCATTTGCCTCCTTACAGTCTCTGGAGTCAGGAAGTCTGGTCTTGTATTCTATGTCGCAAAAAAGAGTGAGGGTTATGGAGGTCATGGATGCCACAATGCAATGCAAACCAGACGTATGCCTTGTTCCTTCAAAATAAACCAAAGAAAAGTCAGGTCAAGCACTCTCTCGTTACAGTGTACCAGCAGCACAAGCTGCTCTAGCCATTATTTTGATGGATGGATGGATGATTTTAACATATTTATACCCTGCCTCTCCTTCTCAAAGTTCAAGGTGGCTCACAAACAAGAATCACAAAATGCAATAAAATCAAAAGCTATACTAACCAAACAGATCAGCAGATAAAGAAATTCTAAAAGCTGTGCAATATCTGTTTGCCCCTAGAATCCTGAAAAAAAATTAAACCTGGAGACTTGACATGGCTTTTCACTGCATTTCATGCCATCACCTTCCTTTACCTGGTAGGCCACACCCTCTTAATGAAAAAACGGCTGCAAATGGAACCACATTGACAACAATAACATCTTGATTATCGGTTGGATAAACAGTTTGTTAGGCACAAACTAACACATCATGATGTAGCGAACAAGCTTCTCATTTCTCCTGCATTCCTCTTCTTGTTGGATGTTTAAAGGTCTGAAATGTGGGGGGATTTTTGGTGTGTGTGTGTGTGTGTGTATGTAATAAATGCTAGGCATGATAGAAAAGCCCATTTTAATATCACACTCACTAGGCATTATACAGATTTAATTAGGACATGCTAGGTGCAAAAACAGTTTTCAGCTTGCACTTAGAATTGCTGGAAGAAAGATGTAGCGATGGCCACCAACATAGATGGCTTTGGGATGAGACACATTCATGGAGGATAATGCTATAAAAAGCTACTAGCTACAATGATAGCAGTGCTTTACCTCCACCCCAGAACATCACTTGATGAAGATTACAGGAAGCAGAGTGCTATTGTGCTCGTGTCCTATTTGTCAGCTTCCAATCCAATGGGCATCTGGTTGGCTACTGTGGGAAGAGAATGTGAGAATAGAGACTAGATAGGCCTTTGGTATGGGTCCAGCAGGACTCTTCTTGTGTTTTTAGATAACGTGACAACAGAATCCCAAAATTAGGTGCTGCACAAAATGTTACATAATGCCCACAGACTTGTAATATATTTTATTTATTTATTTAACAGGTCTTTTAAAAAAAAACTTTGCTTTTATTCAAAGCTGCAAACATAGCATGTATGGTAACAATGCAAAACATAGTTTAAAACTTTAAACGGTTGGCGAAGAGGAAGAAAGAAAAAGTCAACAAATGAAGACTGAGAGATGGGTAACATTAATAATAATAATAATAATAATAATAATAATAATTTTTATTTATACCCTGCCCTCCCCAGCCAAGGCCGGGCTTAGGCATATGGGAAAATAGATAGGCGCTTATCATGTGACAACAATTTTAAAACTTTTCACCTAGCTGTCCCCATTACATGGAGATCTGTTGTCTTGATCCATACAATGAAAAAAGCATAACTACATTCCAGGAAATACGTACGTCTGCATTTTTAAAAATGCAGACTTCCATTTCCCTGCTGGTCCTGCTCAGAAACTAGCTCCTTTCTGCTGTACTTCAAGAGCATTAAACATTCAGAGCCATATATATATCCTTCAAGGCTGTCACTGGTGCGGCTAGCAAGAACTTGATTTGGTGGTTTTTAAGGAAAGAACTTGAATGAAATATATATATATTTCAACTTGCTACTTCCCCTGCCTTACTTTTTTCTTATGCTGCTACAAGGAGCTGGGGGCCTATATTAAACACCTACAAGTATATTTGTTGTCCTCAAGTAAAAATCACAGTTGAAGCATTTCGGTATAAAGACAATTTGTTCACAGCCAAGATGGGTGTTCAAAACGGAGGACATATATCATATAAATAATACCAATGTTGTGAGATGCAAGGCAATGGCCTACTAAAAACAGACTGGATCAGGAGGTCAGCTTTTATTATATATTAAAGGTAAAGGTACCCCTGACTGTTAAGTCCAGTCGTGGACGACTCTGGGGTTGCGGTGCTCATCTTGCTTTACTGGCCGAAGGAGCCGGTGTACAGCTTCCGGGTCATGTGGCCAGCATGACTAAGCCGCTTCTGGCGAACCAGAGCAGCGCATGGAAATGCCATTTACCTTCCCACTGGAGAAGTACCTATTTATCTACTTGCACTTTGATGTGCTTTTGAACTGCTAGGTGGGCAGGAGCAGGGATCGAGCTGTTATGGTTCTGGACATTTCGACACAAGCAATGGGAGTTCACCCCGTTGCGGGGATTCGAACCACTGACCTTCTGAATGGCAAGCCCTAGGTTCAGTAGTTTAGACCACAGTGCCACCCGCGTCCCATTTATTATATATTAGCAAATAGCAGGGCATATTCAGAAGTCAGAAAACAATCAGAAGTGCAGAAAAAAATAATAACCCAGTAGTCCACTGCTATCCATATGTCCTGATTTATTTACAGGTTCTTAGTCTGAAAGTGTCACTGCCATCACCAGAAGCACTTTTCCTGAGCAGGCATTCCTGAGATCTCAGTTGCTTTCCATCATTTGATGGCTCCACAGGTGCCTCTAGGCAACAACTCTGTTTTCCTCCATGTCTCTCCCTGCTTGGTAACCTTTCAGCACTGAGCACAGCAGAGCGCCTCAAGCAATGAGTCTCAAAATGATGTCACAGGGAACGAAAACAGCAACTTTTCACCATCCACGTTACGTGTCATAAACAGCCTCCAAAGCCCAAGGTTCAATCTTCCTACTGCCACCCGCAATCACATTAATACAGTACATTCTCAGTGACAAAGAGGCTTCCTAGTTGCTTCTGTCCATCTCCTCTTCTTAGCCAATCATAAAAATCACTAGCAGCACCCTTGTCCCCAGGGAGGGAAAACACTTACAAAAGAAAACAAATAAGCAACTATGTCTTGAAGAAAAGGCTTGGGATAATATGTGTGTGTTTTCTTTGAATTTAATTTGGTACAATGATGCTCCAGTCAAAATAAAGATTTCATGTTTGCTAGCTGAACAAAGGGTTAAGAGACGTAAGAGTTCTCTGCAAATTCCTAGAGGGCACTCGGTGAGGTCACATCCTCTGTTTGCACAGGGCAGGAAGAGAACAATAGGGAAAAAACTTACTACTTCCTTCCTGTCCAGAGCTCATCTCTTTTACATCTTGCAGCTGTGGAGAAAGGGTGTAGTCTGTGCTCTGTTGAGCACAGGCACCATATTCAAATGTGTGTTTTGTAATCTAGAAGTCTATTTTGCCTGACTTACTTGACTGCCATTTTCTGCTTGAATCAAGTCTGCAGTGTTATGTAAGCAAACAACATTTTTATGTTTACATTACAGACTACTGTACTGTGTTGTTATCATTTAAGTTTGGAGCTGCAGGTTTCAAAATGCTGTCTTTATGAATGATTTATTTTACTTTGCTCAACTGGGTTCTGTAAAAAACCCTCTTCCCCTTCAGCCAAACCCAAGAACTTACCCAGTGGAGGAGGCTACAGTGAGTATTTCCAGCATCCCAACAGAGTAACTTTTTTTTTCTACCAGGGACTACTCGCCCCATAATTTCTGGCTGGAAACTGATGCTAGGCTCATCATTTTTGCCAGAGATTCTGGAGCCAATTGCCCTAGGCCTCTGCAGGAAGAAACACTTAGCAGGGAGCAATTCCCATGGACGTAAAGTGGGGCTTACTTCTGAGTAATGTACAAGCTAATACACTGCAATGTTTCATTGTCCACTGTTTCTTTGCAGAGGAGGAGGATAGAGAGCCAGAACAGAAGAGGGTACCACACAACTTTTCTCCCAGTGAAGCAGCAACTGCGGCAGCTGAGACCCCTTCTGAATCAAGGTAAGAGGCTTTAGGCCCCAGGTGCATCTCCACTGCTTAAGTGTTTGCTGTTCCTTTCTCAAGTGAAGAAGACGGGACCTCCTAGACACTACCTAAGTGACCTAGGTGTCCCACCAGTTCAATTTTAATTTTATTATGGATTTATTTATTAAATGTTTATATTGTCCTTCAGCCATAGATCTCAGGGCAGTTGTCAGGTCTAGGTTCCCGGTGGCGCCATTGATTGCAAAGGATTGTGTTTGCCCAAATGACCTATATGGGCTTTCAAATGGGTCAAATGTATAATCTTCCCAGAAAACATGTGAAGGGGTTGTATTTTTTCCCCTTTTTTCTCCAACCTGCCTCTACTTTATCAAAGCAGAACCAATGACATTTATGTTTTGATGCTCAGACCTACAGAAACTCCCTATAGAAATTGCTGGCACAGTTGACATCATCACAGCCCCAATGATTCCTGACATATTACATGAGATACCTTTCAGTAAACTTGTGCATGGCGGGGAATCCATAAATCCAAATTCAATTAAGTCATTTTTATGCTGCACATATTCACCATACAGTACACATCCAGCTCTTTTATCTTGTGAAGGGGAAGGTAGAGGCAGGAGAGACAACAGAACCACAACACTTATAAAAACGACTTGCTTACAGTCACTCAGTAATTATTATTCTAGCATTGCCCTAATACATTGTCTTACAAATGCCAAGGCAGGGAGATAAGCGTTTGCCTGTTGAAGGTGAAGAGCTCTGTTCTGTCTTTAGATATTTGGAGCTAAATTGCTACTCTTAAATCACTGCTGTTTTTTCCCAGTGTGCTGTGTGGGATTGTACTGGAGACACACTGTTGCTATGCCCTTCCCAGCCCCCACCTCGCCTACTACATACAAGTCCTTTCTTTTTTAGGGCATTTCCCCATTATTTCAATCATTTATATCTTTGAATGCCTGACATTTTACAGTGCCCAAACCCCACGTTTCAGTGGGCATCAGTAAATCATCCCCCAACGCTGTGTCTTCCTTATACACTCTTCCATACATAACATCAATCATTTTACCATTTCATAGGAATAAAAAAAGAAAGAATGTTTTCTTAACTGTGTCTTGCTTTATTGGCCACATTACATAAACAGGATGATTTATGAAGCAGGAAAAGGAAAGAAGGTGGTGTTTGCTCTTATGCGTTCTTCTCCCATCTGTGATTTTTGTCGTGTCTTTAGGCTTCATGGAAGCATCCTTGCACTAAGTTAGTATAGGGGCATGTGCAAATGTCTATACCCCCTCCCTTTAAGCTTTCTGAATGTTTGTAAAATGACTGTGCCTGCTTTTTGCTATGATACAATGCAGATAACCTGACTGTTCTACAATATTTGCTGCTTTAGGCCATTGATAAGAATGGGCATAGTATGGGTTTCCTATACAAGTTGTGTCTTTGTCATGGAAACCAAGTTAACAGACATTAAGCACACCCTTGCCTCTCCTCTCTACCCCACTCTCTCTTTCTCTCTCACACACACATTCACAGTTGCTATGGTGGCACAAGATGAATGATCTTTCCTGCAGTTTCATTGATGACATACAGCCCTGTAATGAACTGTCAGTTCTTTTGTAGGGTTGACTTTTGGAGATTCGTAGCTTCTACTGATCCAAGGCCGGCAAGTGTTTTCCTCTTTTTTTTTTAATGAACTGTGGCTTCTGAAAAAAACAACACACCAACCAGCGTTTGTGGGCAGATAGAGAACCAAGCTAAAACACATTATTTTTAACTAAGCTAGAGACCTAGTAGGCTAGACAGTGAAAACAAAGGTGGACAGGAGCAGAAATAAGTTGGGTAACAACTTATTTTAGTATTTTTATTTGGGTGCCTGATATCTGTGTTTGTTGTTCAGCATTCGGACAAACAAAGAAAAGAATGCTGCTTTCACACTGTCCCTTCCTTCCTGTCTCTTTACTGCAACTACTGTCCTCTAAACTAATTTCTTCTGCTGTGGTGTGCCTCTGCTTGCCATTGGCTTAAATTTGGTAGCTGGCCATTTTGGAACCTACTCTTTGCATGCACCAGACACAGAAGAATTCTCAAAATGGTGGCTGACAGGCACCAATGGTGCACAGCAGTAGAAAAAAAAAGATACAAGAAACAGTATGGCATTGTTGGCCTGGGCAATTGTGAAACCATGGGTTGGAATCCACTACTACAGCAACAGCATGGGAAGCTCAAATCTGAAATTATGAAGCCTTCTGCATGAAGCTAAAGCTTCAAGGAAAAGACTATTGGAAGAATTCCATCTTGTTTATCCATGCGCTGTACAGTAGTAAAAAACTAGCTATCATGAAGACATGCCCCCGAAAATAAAATCTGGGCTTCCTCTGCCTTGAAATCCTACATTCTTAGAGTAGAAAAGCAGGCAGTATATTAACACTTTCCTTGCTTATTTTGTGTATAATTAAATATTCAAAGTTATGGACAAGTAATCTTGCAGAATTAGACTTCCCTAGCTGCCTGTGGCCCCTGTAGGGCTGAGAGTATTTCATAATGAAGAGGCGTACTGGGGAGTAATGAATAGAGGTATTGTGTAGAATGGGGGGAACCTGGCAAACAACTGTATGCCTACGCTATAAGGTTACAAAGAGACAGTGGAGAATGGGACTTGGCTCACGCTCAGGTAGAGCTTTCCTTTTCCTTAAAGTTCTTTGTTGATAACTTCTGCATTCACATGCATTTGAGAAAAGCGTCATATCAAGGACTCTGCATCTTTGCAAGGAAAACAATATACCAGGAAGCATTTCAAAACACAGGCAGCATCTTCTGCAGAAGCTTGTTTAGAAAATAGGTTTGGCTAAACAAAAGCCTTGGAAATAACATAATCAGCACTGCCCCTGTTTGGGTGCATGGGCCGAGGGAGGAACAATTTGTCAAAGATACACGCTTGTAATGTTCAAAGAAACAATTTTCTAGCACAGTGTTATCTCTTGCAACTCCTCTTTTCTATCTATTGTTTGCTATACGTTTTTGTTCAAGAGAAAAATTAGGCACGCTCTGGAGTGTTTGCTTGGTCTGGAATTTCCCCCCTGTGCCAAGCTGTTTAATTTATGATGCCCTTCCATAAGAAAAAGCATCTTGGAGACACTGTACACACCGTAGCAGAATATCTAATTTATTTATCCTCCAACCAAGGCCCTAGGTCAGCCTTCCCTAACCTGGTGCTGTCTGGATGTAGCTGAATTTCAGCACCCACCCCCAGTGCTAGCCATTAGGGATGACATTGTTGTTGTTGTTGTTGTTGTTGTTGTTGTTGTTGTTGTTGTTAATCTCCTTCCACATATATGCCCAAGATGATTTACAGACATACCCTGAAAAAAAGATGAAATAATGTTTAGAACTGTATAAAAAACAATGGAATATGGGTTTTAAAACAACATAAAACAAACACCTAAGGCAGAGAGACCTTTTCATCTAGCTGGAAAAGTTTGTCAAAACAAAAACGACTTCAGTTGTTTCCAGAAACTACAGGTCGTGAATAGACAGTACAGCAATGTCCAAAGGCAACCAGGATGGGGAAAGCTGTGCATGCATTATTTAATTGTTGCAGTCACTCGACTCGTTGATTAAGGTTGGATATGTGGATTCCTACACCAGTGTTAACTAGGGCTGTTACCTGTGAAATGGCTTTGGGCGCCGAGACAAATGTTCTGAACATGTCTCTGGACGTTTCTTCATCCAGGCAGTGGCTGGGATACAAAGAGCTCCTTCAGGCATGTGCATGCCCAGTGGGATTTCCCCTTTGAATGGCAGTCTGCTGTGCCACATCACAAATGCTTTTTAAACTCCCTTCAGTTTTCCTCACGCAGCATGGAGGGCTAATGGTAAAAAAAACAACCCACATTTTTTTTTCTAAAAGGAAAAGGAAAGGTACAGTTGTATCAACCCACATGTACAACTTACAAAATAAAGCAGCTGACAAAACAAATAAAATAAAACATTGGGTTGTATCCAAGGTGCTTTTCGACCCATTGAAAAGCTGCTTTGGATTTAGTGGAGAAATCTAGGAAGTCCCTCTGTTTGTGCAAGCTCTTGTGTAAGACATTGCGCTTTTGAATGGGCAACCAGTATGAAAACGAGAAACACAAAGAAAAATCTTAGCTCTAGCCTCTTTTTCCCCATGCTGCGCATACATTTAAAATTTTATTTATTTTCATTTTTATACTTCCCTTCATCCTTCGAACTCAGGATGGTTCACATCATAAAAATACAATATAAAAACATAAAATACATAATAAAAATAAGAACCAAACCAATAATCCCCCCCTCCCACAACACACCTATCATGTCACTTCTTACTTGCCCCAAATCTCCTTGCGATTCAGTGTACATGCAAAACTGACCGTCCCCAATATCTATTACTCTCCTAAAATTGTAACTCACCATGCAGTCTTATTCATGTCTGCTCAGAGGTAAGTCCTATTAGTTAACATCTTACTTAGTTCTGTGTGGCTTACTTCCATATAAGTGGGTACAGGATTACAGTCTTTGTTTCCTAGCTGGAAGAAATTTGCCCTGATCTATATGTGGATGTCCAGATATTATGGAATAACAGAATCATAGAATTGTAGAGTTGGAAGGGACCCCCGAGGACCATCGAGTCCAACCACCTTTTAACCACAATGATGCTAATATTTTACAACCTGTTTTCAGTGATATTGGACAACAGCTGGCTTGCCTTTGTTGATTACAGTTACTGCCTGAGTCTTGAGATCGTTGTATGGGGGAAATGCTTCATTTTTTGTCATATACAGTCTTCAAAGTTTTTGTTTTTGTTTTAGAATTTTTGCACTATCATTGTAGAGTTGCATCCAAAGGTCCCATTCCTTCCACCAGAAAAAGGAAACCTATGGATGCACCCCTGAGTGCTTCTAGCACAGGTGTTGCTTGAAATTTTTAAAAAATGTGGAGCTATTCTAGAAACCTGAACTTGTGATTACTTTGTTTCCTCACAACTTTCACTTCTCTTTGTTTTGCTGGTTTCTGTGTTCAGAATAGGTTTGTTTAGATGGTTTTGGTTGGATGTAGAAGCAGGCAATCCTTCAGGCGTTCTGAAACCAAGCCATATGCATGGTTTTTCAGCAGTAGCACTTTGAGTTGTACCAGGAAATGTATTGGAAGCCATGGAGGAGCGCCATATGTTTCCATTACACAGCCCCAGTTAGCAGTCTAGCTGCAATCTAACATACCATTCATTGCAATCATCTAACCTGGAGATGAAATAGTTCTGTAGAAACCAGGCCTTCCTTTGCAGTTGGTTGCCCAGCTATAATAGCATGCATTTAAGTCGTGGACTGGTGCTAATCCAAGTATTACAGCTCAAAGTTTCCACAGTAGGTCTGAGCAAGCTAGGAACACAATGACTTCCTGATCCACAGGGTATCCCTTATATATGTTCTACACATGTTCTACATATGTTCTACATATAAAAAGTCCTAAGTTCAATCTTTGACTTCTCCAAGTGAGGCTGGGAAGACTCCTGTTTGAAACCATGGAGTGTGGTTGATAGACATTATAGGCAATACTGAATTAGATAAACCTATGGTTTAATTTGGTACAAGCTGTCTTCCTATGTTGTAGAATCACAAAATATATTGGATAATTACAATGGGTGTAAAAAAGAGAAGTCAATAATTTACAGCTCTCCACAGGCATCTAATTGCTCTGGGGAAAAGGGAAGCACAAGACTACATTTTTTTTTAGCTTCAGTACAGTGGACAATTCACTAAGTGATAAATTACAATGCTGGACAGTTTAATCTATGGAATACTGGTCATCTGTACATTTGCCCTCATGGTGGTGTGGAGAATCCTGTTATACCACTTAGAACTGACCAGAAATTGGGGGATGCCAGGAAATTCTAAGGTTTCCTTTACCATGTAGGCAGAAATTATAGGCGAGCATCTCATCGTGTGGTTTTCGGGTAAATGGTTCTCTGTCAAATGGGAGAAAGGGTAGAGAACTACCTGAGTGCATGTAAAAGGAAACAAAAATGTGCACTTATTCATCTTTGAGTTGGTGAACCTGCTCCAGAAAGTACCATTTTTCTATATGGCAAGTTTCACGACCTGCTTTAAGCATTTCTCAGCTTTTCTAAAAAGCATTTTGCAGTGTAGGATAGGTGCAGAAAGGAAGATTGACTTCAGGGGAAAAAGAAAACAAAAAAGTCCCATTGTGCACTTTTCCCTATGCCCCTCTCTGGATTGGAGCACAGTGATTTTGAAATGAACGCCAGTATTAGTCAGGGACTGTCTCCCCCTCCCATTTTTTAAAGAAAGCTCTTTATGTAATCTAGCCTTACTGATTGATTAATAGTGTTCCCTGGGGTGAAGTCTTCAATAGGCTCTGTTTGAAAAAGAATTGTTAAAAGCTGAAGAGCCACATTATATACTTTATAGGTCAAAAACAGCACCTCAAATTGTTCTCGAAAGACAATAGGAAAATAGTGCAGAAGCTTTTGTGGGTAACAAGCCTCCGGTAACCAGGCTCCGCTAGGAGGTAGACCACAGGATTCTGCCTCAATTGGCAATATTCATCTCTTATTGAGAGCAATCATGGAAGATGTGTGATGATCAATTTTACATGTACCATTTACAGTGCTTTCAAGCCTCACTCTCATGCTGCTGTGCAAGTTTAAATGTGCTTATACAGTGGTACCCCAGGTTACGTACGCTTCAGGTTACATACGCTTCAGGTTACAGACTCTGCTAACCCAGAAATAGTGCTTCAGGTTAAGAACTTTGCTTCAGGATGAGTATAGAAATTGTGCTCTGGCAGTGCGGCAGCAGCAGGAGGCCCCATTAGCTAAAGTGGTGCTTCAGGTTAAGAACAGTTTCAGGTTAAGAATGGACCACCGGAACGAATTAAGTACTTAACCCGAGGTACCACTGTATCAGCTTTCTAAAATTGTTGATGGTGATACAGAAAGGAATAATTAGAATGGTATTTTATTCTTCCTGCGTGTTTTGGGTCACCTGTGAGCAAATGACATTACCTGAAGTGCATTTTTAGTCCACCATTTGTGTGACCCATTGGGAATGGCTTCTCTAGACATTTTACCTCTCATTTCTGGAGGAAAGTGGCTCATTGGTCACACTGACCTAGGCCCAGATTAACATTCCTTGAGTCATACCCATTTCGATGATGGACTCTTTGTCATAGCCATTTCCTGCACCTCCCTGCTCTCTGTTAAGAAAAAGGCAAGGTAAACATGAAATGCTTCCCTCTCCTTATTGACATCTGCTGGTGTGTGTGCGTTTGGGTGGGAGGGGAGAACTTATCAATTTTGCCAGCAGTGTGCTCTTTTCCTTTCCTTCAAAGCAGATATATATTTTTAATCAGTGCTGGTTCACATAAACCATGCCTTTTGAAACTGACATGGTTTTCTCTACCTTTAATTTCAACATATGTTAGAAAGGGCCAGTGGTAGAATTGACAGTGTATCAGATTCACTGGAAACCAAGTGGTTAGATGTTGAAGGAAGTGGTGATGGGAGGGTGGGGAAGTCATGCAAAAGGAGGGGGTAATACCTTGTCAGACTGTCACCAACCATGCCATGAAGGTAGTTGTGGGCCAGTATGGGTCTGCATTTGAGGTAGACAAGTGAGAAAGTAACAGGAACTGGCAAAGATTCCCAGGTGATCTTCAAACAAAAAATCTTCAAGAAAAGGTGCCATAGTGATCTTGAGTATGCATTCTAAGAGACTGGATCAGCTTCTCAGATCAATTCACTGTTTATTCCAGCATTGTGAATGTTATATGAGGGAAAAAATAAGAAGCATACTAAATGCTCTTTATGTAAAGAATTATTATGAAGACATGAATTGCTACAGCTTTGACCATTTCCTTTTTATATCATTATTTCCGCATATTAGCCCTGTCTTGAACCACCATTGACCTTGACCTTGATGCCCCAAACAGCAATAATCTGTGCAATCCTATGTATATTTATCTACTTAGAAGTCCCACTGTGTTTGATGAGACTTGCTACCTAGTAAGTGTGAATACGATTGCAGTCCAAAATTATTTCAAGATGCAAGAACTACACTCTCTGTCAAACATGCCCGATGATAATGTCAGTTGAAATCATCCATTTCCAGATGGTGGTATTCTGAGATCTAAGAAATTCAATGAGCATATTAAGTTTTCCATGTAACTTATGAGGATTAATTCCAAATTAAAAATAAATATAAGCAAGCTGTGGGCCAGTCTCTTTGCATAAACATTTGAAATGACCACAGCAAACTCAGATGGCCCCAATATTTCCAGTCTGTAGGCACTGGTCAAGTTAAGCTTCTCTAAGATACTTTAGCTGTTGCAAACAAATAAACAACAACAACAAAAAGGAAATAAATTGAAAATCTGCTCCGAAAGGAATGGTAAAGTAAGGCATCTGTTTAGACCTCTTTGAAACTCCCAGTCAATACCAGAGTCTTTTCCTACGAAAGTCTGAATTTGTTTGTATTTCATATAAATCAGTTGACCTGGTCTCAGCAGCACTGCCTTTCAAATTGTTATATTCATTTCATTCCGAGCTTATTTCTTCCACAATTGGTCTCTGAGGTTTTATTTGCTGGTTCATTTCTTTCAGCCTGCAGCAAGCTTTGCTCTCTTCACCCACCCTCTGCTTCACGCAGCTCTTCTGGGTCTTCTGGTCTACAAAAGGTCAGGTTGTAGTGGTTTGTTTTTAGATTTGGGCATTGGACTGTTTCCTACTCGTGCCATGCAAACCCAAGCCATTCATTTCAGGAAGAATGCAACACCCTGTAGAAAGGAAAACCTACACAGAAATTATTGGAATGCCTTGAACAACACTCTTTAATAGAACTGTCCTTGCCTCATATAATGTACCTGCTTCGCATTCAGAAATGTTCATTGGCAAATATAGCAATAATGGACATGACCAAACATTCCACAGCTTTTTCTTCCTCTCCAATGGCATATTAATCTTCTCCTTGTTTTCCAATATGATATGCATTCATTATACACCAGAGAAAATGAGTTCAATTTAGCTAAGGCTGCAAGGATTGCTCAACTATATCAATTAAATGGTGCAATTAACTGAATAATTTGTATATCAGACATTTGTTAAGTGCATTCAAAGTCTATTCCTGGGCTTGTAACAGCAATGTGCAGTTATTCACGGCATTCTTAAACAAAGGAATGTGTTGATTAGTTAGAGAAGATGCTCCTCTTTCAGTTGTTAATACTGGGCCTTATTTCAGTCGCCAGCTCATACTCTGGAGAGTGCAACACAGTTTAACACTGCCGAAAGGTGGTGAGACCTCTTGGCTTCTCCTGCTCTATCTACTCCATCTCTTTCCTCAGCCTCTTCACATGCAAAACAAAAATCCTGATAAGATATGAGGAAAAGAACTGAATAGGAGAAACTTGGATTGTTTTTGCACCTCTTAAAGGGTTAGTGTAGCAAATTTAGCCTTATTGCTTCTATAGGCGTGATTGCTCTGTGACCATTGCAAGCTGCATTGCACCCAAGATGCAGCGCAAAGCTCCCTGATGCATCACCAGAATTCTGCCGAAATGTTGATGTTTTAACAGTTATATTCAAAGGATTATGCATAAAGGGGGCTTTTAGTCTCCCCGTTTTGGTGGCAGTCCCCACAAAGACCTCTAAAGTTTAGGAGGCACATGCATAAAAATGCATGTATTGGTGATAACAACATTGAAGATTGCATGATCATAGTAGGGGGAATTGCTTGCAGAAATGTGTATATGGGGCAATCCTATCCAAGAGTTTACCTCACCTCCCTGCACCAGAAGTGGGGTAATAGTTAAATATTGGCTCCTGCCTTTATGTCCGCCCCCCCCACAATTGAATTTTGTCAGTGCGGGAGGTGTGCCAGGGAGGAGGGATTGAACCCATCTTCCCTCATGCAATTTGGTTGTGTATGACTCTGTTGCTGTGGATCTCTATTGATCTTACATACAAAGCTCAAAGGCTGTGTCCCATTGAATCCCTTCACAAAGGGAATGAACATAAGAAACAGTATTGGTAAAACATAATGAAATGAAACTAGAAAGATAAAGCCAAATTCATGTTCCAGACTCATGCTGTTTTCATCTTTGTAGGTCAACTGTGCTGCAAAAATCAAAATTTATACACAGTTGTGTAGGGCGAGGAGATACAGGGGGGGAAAAGCTTGGTGAATGAAGTTAAAGGAAAATGGATAGTAAATGGATCTATATTGTGAAACAAAAAGTACCACCTGGGTCAAGCTGTTGTTTCATCTACAGCAGCTTGACCCAAAAAACAGTTCTTACCCAGGTTCTGGGAAAGCTTGGATGTGTGAGTGTTTAATATGTGTATGAAAAATAATAATGAATGATGAAACAGAGTTTTACTGTGTTTGACTGTAAACTCCTAGGACCTAGAACATAAATGTTTGCAATACAGTTTGTTTGCCTTTAACACACACACACAGACACACACACAGAGAGAGAGAGGGATGCAGATGACATTTAGGGTGGTAGAAAAGACAAAAACAAAGCTTGAACAAACTGTCAGGTTCATTGACCTTATCTACCTTACAGTACTAAAAACCTAAATAAATACACAGAGACCTGGGCAGGTCATGGCAAGAGAACTGACTTGCCTCGCTTACCTTGGTCTGTTTGAAAACTGGCTCAGTGAATCTTCAGGAAACAAGGCAAAGCCTGCAAAGAGCGTTTCTTAAGCTGGGTTTGTAGACAGTGGTGAATTCTTAGCACTCATGAAACCACCAGAACACAAGAACTTTGATGTCCATTGGAGGGACATCAAAGGCGTTCTAAAGCAGATATTGCCACTGGTAGCCATAGGAACTAAGGCTGCAGCTAAAAGTGGCTTTTCAGATTTGCAATCCAAATATACGTGCATTATTGAATCAAAATGGACAACTCCATAACTTTCGTTGTCAAAATTGGCTGGAACATTTATCTAGTTTTCTCAGAGCCTGGCGGCCTCATAGCTCCCTTATGCCCAAGATACCTGGAGCCTGGATTTGTAAACAGGACTCGGGGACTGTGTAGCTCACTTGGCCTGATTCCTCTGGAATTGCAGTAGATTTTGTTGAGCACCTATGCAAATCCCACAGCATGTTCTGCATCTGCAGACAACCAAACCCTACCACCAGATTTGGAAGGGCATTCAGTGTCATTTTGATTCAGCATGTGACCGGTCATGTGTTCCTCTTAGTTGCATGCATGGGCTCACAAGCATTCTGATGCTTTTCACTGCAATTCATGTACCGCATCCTCATCTTTGACTGTTCAAAGTGGCATCACACTTTCAGTTCTATACAAACTTGATTTAGAGTAAGCTCCATTGACTTCAGTAGGGTTTAGTTTTGAGTAATGAGCATAGCTTTGGTTTGCCCTACCTTCTGGATCCTGAAATAGCCTTAAAGATTTCCCAGCTTCTTTCTTTTTCAAGCCCAGAGATGATCCGATTCATTAGAATAACCAGAGAAGAAGTTTTCAAGGAAGGAGAGAGGAAGCGAATTTTGAGGCAAAAATAACATAATATCTCAAATTTTTACTGCTCTGCATTGAAATAATACATGAGACAACATGCTGGTTAAAGCCAGAGCTTTATAGATAAAGGTCACATGTTGAACGTTTGCATAAATTTGCCGCGCAGATTGCTTTGACATGTCACATTCTGTAAACGCAGGCTCTCCTGTGGTGCTTTAGAGCAGCAGATACACATGATCAACCTGTACAGCCATAGAGCATCATTTGCCTCTTGTGAGATGGTTCACTTAAAAGCACAATGCATTTCCATTGAACTGAGAGTAGAGGATTTTTCTTCCTTTTACTTATTGGCCTTTCTAAGGCAGAACTGCTTTGCCTAGCCAAAGATACTATTTTCTTCATATGCGGTTCAAGGGTATGCACATGGGCTTTCAACAGTGTCAGACTCCAGTGCCCTTGCTCTCCCTCTGCTTATTCAGCACCCATTTCCCTAACATTTTGAGAGCTTGTAGGAGATGATGTGAGTGAGATTACTTGGAACACACAAGATGCACCAACCAGACCAACCAAATATGGTATAGAAATTTGTTGTTTTATCCTTCTTTCATTCCAAGGAGCTGAAAGCATCATTTTAGCCATCGCAGCCTTATGGCACATTTGGCCAAATACTGTGATTTGTCGAGAGCTTCCTCAGTGTGCATGAAGGACAACCACACGTCCCTTTTGCCCTGCTCTTTCCATTCACAGGTTTGCACTTTAAAGCTCTGTGTCTGAACCCCCGCCCCCTTTCCCCTGTGAAAACTCGCTCTTTAAAGCTGAATTGGAGCAAATGACTATTTGGGTTTTTAATGGATTACCATTTGGTCCGATTCAGCTTTAAAGAGTGACGTATCGTGGAGCAAAAAAAGGGAGGGGGCTGAGATACAGAGCTTTAAAGTGTGGGTCATGCCTGGAAAGCGCTGAGAAAAGGTGTGGCTAAGCCCTCAGTCCTGTGAATGTTATCTCATAGAACTCAATAAGACATACTTCTGAGGTGATATGAATAGGACTGAGAAGTTATTCTCTTTCTACACATGCACATAGAAAATACCCATTTTGTTTAGTAGCAAGGGTTGGGAGGGGATTAATGACAAGTGGATGGTGAAGAGCTGGATTCAACTATAGATTATCTTAAAGGCATCATTGCATCCAGTGGCTGTGGGTTCAGTTTTTTAAAGCTAGTATTTTCATGGGGGGAGTGGGAATCCCCCACTGGTGCCAATGGGTAATTTCCTTCGAAATTAAGAAAAGCACCAGCTTCTGAAAATGAATTTTCCTAGGACCGCAGTGGAGGAGAAAAAAGTTAACTGCTCCTCTCTGTATCTCTTATGATTCCATTAACTGACATTCACCCCTCAGCTGATGTGATTTGTATTTTTATAAAATAGAAAATCTGCACACTAGATGATGCAAAGGGACACTTAATATGTAGCTTGGTCCTCAGCTGCATAGTGTCTTCCGCCTCTAGTTAAGGATTGGCACTGTAACTGTATTTGTAGAGGGGGGTGTGTGTGTGTGTGTGTGTGTGTGTGTTTAAATTAATAAAATCATTTCTGGGTTAGGGATCAATTCCAGAGAAAGAAAGGTGTTTGTGGGAGATGGCAGTGTGAGAGCCTAATTGAACAAGACTGAAGTTCCAGGGATTTGTAAGTGGAACAGGTGAAAATGGCAGTCGTGATAATTTAATACTAATTACTTCCATCCTAGCAACTGTCTGCCAGGTGCTCTAAAGAACAAGAAAAGAGAGCTAGGCACGTACAGATCCCTTGCCCAGCTTTTCCTGACAGGACAGCGGGGGTATAGGATCGCTTTAGCAAAACCTTGGGGCCTATGTTGTGAGTTTTATTTTTGCTCACTTTGTCCATCATTTCATTTATTCATTTATTTGCTTCCTTGCTTCCTTAGTTACATTTATATCATGCCTTTCGGTCTAAGACCATTTGCTGTCACGTTTCATAAAGCAGATGAAAAGAAATTAAAATTACCTATGTGAAGCAACACCACAACTGGATCAACATACACTATACTGGGGGAGGGGGGAGATGACATCACAGTGGGAGCATGAAAGCAGAAATGGAGGCACAATAATAAATAAATGCTATGTTAGTTCATTAGTCCTATTCTATAAAAAAGGGGCCACCAAGCAGAGAAAGGTCGGCCCTTGTAGTCCCCGTGATTACTTTGTGATATTAATGAGAATTTTGGTTTGATTTCTGTCATTCTGTGACTTGTTTTCATGTTGCCTCAATGCAAAGCCTTAACACAAAACTCTTGCAGTAGAAGATCCTCAGGGCATAAGAGAAGAAAAGAGGCAATGTATCTTTGTATGTAAATAATGTACCCTGAAGGAAGTCTCTCATTAGAAGAGCATCCATGGAAACATGGCATTGAACAGGAAGTAAAACCCCAGCAGCCAAGTTGAAGAAACTCCTCTTACCTTTGCCACACATCTTAAGAGGCTTCAGTCAATAAGCACGGCTGCTTTCCACAAGCTTTGACTCCAGCAAGACGGAGTGCAGAGCAGATTGTAGCCATGTCTGCCAAGTAGGTGGCAGAATATTGCTATGGGGAAGGTGACTCATCCTTGCATAAGAGTCAGCCCATGTTCAGCATTCAGCAGCAGCGCAGTTGGGTGTCAGCTGATAAATACTGGGCACAAAGAAGTACAATATCACTGCTACAATGTTCTCTTTAAAGCCCAGCGTAGCAGAGTGACTGGAGCTTTGGGCTTGGATGTGAGAACCCTCCATTCATTTTGCTGTTCAGCTGAAGCACACTGGGGCAGCCCTGGGCAAGCCATGGTTTCCTGCCCTTCTCTGGTTGTGATAGCTAAAACGCTGTTTCAGTGCTAAGGAAGGAAGGAAGGAAGGAAAAAACAAACAAGTGTCTCTGATATATAATCCTCTATTCCTTCATCTCCTACAAGTTCTCCAAAAAATAAGCAGAGGAAGATCTGTGGCATGTGGGGTTGGCGCTGTTGGAAGCCCATGGATGAGCCCTGGGATGTCCTAGCTTTGCTGCTCCATCTCCCCTTTCTTGTTGTTGCCTGGTGAAGTGTTGTTGCTCAGGGATACAGCATCTGCTTTGCATTCAAAGGATCCCAGTTTCAGTCCCCAACATTGCCAGGAAGTGCTGGGAGAGAACCCTGGATTTCAGAATCCAGTAACAGAATTTTTAGATCAGAATTCAGAATTGATATACCTGTATTGTTGTTGTTGTTGTTGTTGTTAATTTAAAAAAAACCAAAGCCTGAATACCAGGAATTCAAAGTAGCGCTTCTGTGATCACTCTATCAGTACAAGCACTTTTTGCCCTCCATGTTCTGTTCTGGGGGTGCGACTAACCCCTGCAACCTAATTGGGATGTGTGCAGGGGTTGTATGGGGCAAGGAGAGGGAAGGGGAAAGCCCTATAGCACAAGTCCTTGCATGGGCCCCATTAGAGGAATCCACCCCCATTTTGGGCATTTTGGGGGCATTTTGATGACAAAGCTTGGAGCAGCCTCACTGATTCTGTGCTGCCAAGGACAATGAAAGAGCTAAAGATTATAGCATGACAATTAGACCTTCTCGATCTATTTCCAGGCCCATGCAAAAAAACAAAACGAAAAACCAAATCCAATGGTGTGTCCAACTTCGCATATCAGATCATGTAAACAAAACTATCATGGATCTGCAGTCAGTGCCCCAATCCTTTCTATAATGCAAAAAGCTCTGTGCCATACACACTGACTGGCCAGTGTTCTCCAGGGTTTGAGGCAAAAGTCTCTCCTAGCCCTAACTGGAGATATTGGGGTTGGGCCTAGGACCTTCCGCATGCAAAGCCGATGCTATGGCCCTTCTCCTAGTTCAAAGATGCCCTACAAGGAATTGATTTGGCTCAACACAGTTCAGGTCATGTGATCTGTTCCAGGGATAATTGAACCCGTGTTGTTTACTATCTCATCACAATGGAAACCTGACAAATTGTGCTTTTGTTTATTTTCTCCACGCTCCCCAGGCGATGTGCAGGGCAGCCTTCCCGAACTTGGCACCTTCCAGATGTCTTAGACTACAGCTCCCATCATCCCTGACCATTGGTCTAGCTGGCTGGGACTGATGGGAGTTGGTTCTCAACAAGATTTGGAGGGCACCAGATTTGGGAAGGCTGAGGATGTATTATTCTATCACAGTTCTGGCATGGACTGAAATGTCCTAAGCGCTGAACTGTGAAAGGGAAGAAAAACTGTTAGCCTCTAGGACAAAATGGCAATATTTAAATGCATCTCTGGTGCATTGCCTGTGAACAAACATGAAACCTTAAATAGCATACTTAAGAAAGGTTTCATCTTTGTTTTTCAAGAGAATGGCCATAGGAGCTCCTGCTGCAATGATTCTATGAGCCAACTGGATCAGTTAAGCACGCTCCCCACCGCCATCAATTCTGGTTTTGTCGCTTTGTAGGGATATAAAAGAGGAACTGAGAGCAAAAGTACCAGTTGTGCTTTTCCAAGCAGAGCCACGATGAAAGTGGTTTAACGGGGTTCAGGCGGAGAGGGTGTGGCAGCTTGCCAGTGTTTAAGCCAAAGCAAACTGCTGTCAGCATGGAAATGGCTGAAGAGGCTGACCTCATGCCTCCCAGGATTAAGCTGAAATCTTGCTGGCGCCATGGTGGGAATATTGAAAGGAGCTGTAATCCTGCCAGTTTGATTGAGCCAAACTGGCCGGGCCCATGTGCACAATCAGCAGCTGAATGGGATCTCTCCCCCTGCATGCCCCAATATTAACAAATGAGTAGAAGCTGCTTAGGGCTGTAAGAAAAAAGGATGCAGGCAGCCAGGGAAGCGGGGGGTGGGGGTGGGGGGAAGCCAAATTGCCCGCTACCTGGAAGAGCGCAATTGTGTGAAGGCTGCTGTTATGAAATTGCTGCACCAGAATAATAGGCGAATTGTTCCAATGCCTTCCACTTCTCCTGTGGATTAACTGACTTTACATTATTTCCCAGTGATACACGCTGTATTATTTATTGCCATAATCAGTAAGATCCCAATGCCATAAATAACTCGGATCCGATGATGTGACTTTGCTTTATGGACCCACATTAATGGTTTAAATTAGATTTCATAGGAAGCAGCTATTGCTTTGTGTCTTCCACGAAGATGCTCAGATTTCCTTGCATCTCAACTCCAGCCCTCTGTCTGTGAAATGTTTTTTTTTTATAGAGAAAGGAGCAGAAATCCTAAAAAATATTGAGTTGTGTGAGTACAATCAACCAAGGGAAGTGTATTACAAGAGGGAGGATCACAGACCATTTATGTTATGGAGAGCCACTTCCCTCCAAGGATACAAATGGGTGACCTTTACTTGCAGCGTTAAATGCCCAGGGGTCATTTGTGCAAGACACAGGGAGCTTTAACTGGAACAGGCCAATCTCATAATGGCTGTGTCAGCCGCAGCAGTGCAAGAACAGGCTTGTGCTGCAGCAGTTAAAATAGCATTTTATGTGATGTTAATGGTGCAGAGTCACACAGATATGCCCTGCTTGCCAAATACATCACCCCCCAAAGACATCTTGGCACCACATGTTGCTGGCACAAAGGGTTATAGCTAGGGATGGATGTGGGAGAGGGCTTTCTTCCCCAGGGAAACTCCAGACCCATTCCTTGAATTTTCAGCTCTCAGTGATCTGGGTCCTCTGAAGATCCATTTATTTGAGCAGACCTTTAGAGGATATCAATGGTTGACCTGGTTGTGGTATTGCTGTTATTGCTTCTGCTGGTTTCTTCTTGTTGTTCTGTTCTTCTGTTTTGATTTGTGGCTGATATTGTCATTCCCGTTGTGTTTTATTATACCCTGCCCTGGGATCACTACTGCGATGAAGCGGGTGGGGAATAGCCATGTCTTTTCAATAAGCCGGTCAGTCGGTAATAGTGGGAAAGGAATTCTGAGGGTTCCAACAGTGCCTGAAAATGAAAGGCACCGAGGCTCAGATTAAGTCGGCAGCCATGCTTTGCTGCTCTTCTCATCCCAGCCACTGTAGGCTCTAAAGGGGGGGGGGGGGGAATTGGGTCCTAGTGCTGGAATAAAGCTGAGGATTTATTCCCTTGAATCATTCCTAGAAATTGTGGACCTTGATGCCAGTGCTACTACATGTTAGAGAAGAAAATCAGAGACAGAGCTATACGGGCAATACCCAGCTTGGGCCACCACATCATAATATAATGATGATGATGACAAGAATGATATTTATATGCCACCCGTCGGACTGGGGTGTCCAAGCCACCCTGGGCGGTTTCCAAAGATTAAAACACAGTAAGACACCAAACATTAAAAACTTCCCTATACAACGCTGCCTTCAGATATCTTATAAAAGTCAGATGGCTGTTTATTTCCTTGACATCTGGTGGGAGGGCGTTCCGCAGGGTGGGCACAACTGCTGAGAAGGCCCTCTGCCTCACTTCTTGCAGTGAGAGAACCACCAGAAGGCCCTTAGCGGTGGCCCTCAGTGTCTGGGCTGAATGATGGAGGTGGAGATGCTCCTTCAGGAATGCAGGGTTCAAAGCTGTTTAATTAATCAACCTGGCCCAAGCAAAAAGACAAATCACAAGGGGGCAGAAAGGTGCCTACCATGATATCCTAGGGGATGAAACTTTCCCTCATGATATTGCATAAGTCTAGTTAAAATTTCAGAAGGCACCTGTCCTCAAATTCGTCTACGGTGTGAGTGGAAGGCAATTTTGTATTCTTTTGTGAAGCTGTAAAGTATGTACACCTTCTGGTTCTCTCACAGTATGTGTCAGTCTCTGAAAATATATAAAGCAAAAATGAAAAAAGCAACATGCCTTGAAAAGGTGATGCAGGCATCATGAATGACTTCAGCCCTGCGGCATTTAAAAAGGTATAATGATCCGTAGATACTGCAAACTATCATTTTATGCCTATTGTGATGATAGTAGGGTTTCTAGTCTACACCAGTATTACAAAGAGCTTCTGCCATTACGCTGTCTCAGGAAACCCAGTTGTCTAATAAAGACAAAAAAAGCATCTTTCTGTCTCTCTCTCTCCCCGCCTCTGTTCCACAAGTTCAGAAGGCAATGTCAGTAAAAGTTCTGGAACTACGGGGTGGGGAATTCTTGCTGCCTGGGATTGGGAATGGAGGAGAAATTGGTTTGGTCTGGATTTTGATACAAACCAACTAAATTTTCCAGTCCTGGACATATTCTGTGGGTTGAATGCAGCTTTTTGATCAGATTGCATACTTCTCTGATTTTTGCAGTGCAGTTTTTGTTCGAAATGCAAACAGAAATGCTCACTTCATTGAAAATATGGATTCAAAATGCATAATTTAAGGGAAAATGCATTGAAAAGCACATAAAAACATGTACTTTGGGTAAACAATGGTTGTACTAAATGTATACAATTAAAGTGCATTATTTTGAAAAATCCTCAAAACCTGGAACATAACAGACTATGACTGAATGCACACAAAACTTAACGTGGAAAGGAATTAAGCTGATCCATCACTAAGTTAAGAATAGACAGTGAAAGCTTAAGATAACAATTTATAAGACTTTCGGGGAGAGAATCAGTGTATCGGTACTAACTGCTTGTTTGAAAATAACTTGAAAATTTAAACTAGCAATGGACGAATCTGTAAATCGTGGTTTCTCTCCATTTGTCTTTTTCCCAGTGTTGACTTCACCATATTTCTGCATCAGTTTGTGATTTTTTTTAAAAAAAGGTCCTCATGGAAATATATCAGTATTTTAGTGTGCATTTGTCCTAATAGAAGCATTTCTGCAAATACATTTTCATATGTCACTTTCACTACTATATGCAGTTTCATGCAAACATTCCCCATGTATATGCATTTCTGTACACAGTTTGGGTTGGAGAACTGCTTTACAAAATTCAGAGAAATGCAAATTTTGAAGGCCATCATGCATTGTTTCAGAAAGTGTACATTAAAATACAAACTGAACCAAATTTCACCACCATCCCTACTCTAAACCCCCAAAATAAGGACTGCTGTGGGAAACTGATTCACTAGAGTTGTGGCAATCTGGAATAAGGCCCATAATGTCCCTTGTGGGTCTAATATTCTGGAATAGAGGGCAATCCTTTAAAAAATAATGGATGCATTCTAAAGCAGCACTCCACAACCCTGTACTTATCTCAGATATTCAAGGAAGCCAAATGTGAAGTTGAGGAAATATGCCAGTTAACAAAACCTTCATTTGTTTTTAGACAAAGAAAATACCCACAACATGACCAAACAGGCAATGCATGCACCTTTATCAGATGAATATCACTGCTTATTAGCCATGAAGCTCTCTGGTATCATTTGAATGATCATACCTTGAATTATACTTTTTGCCCCCACAAAAGCTAAGGTTGTTGTTGTTTCTGATGAGGTAGAAATTCTTCAAAACCTATTATCAGTTTGAGCAATTTTACATATGTAAGGGTGCTGCCTGTTGGGAATCGAGCCTTTATCAGGAGAAACTGGCCACTCTCCAGGCACCCGGCTTGATCTCCTGTTGACCTCCCTGTCTGCATTCCCCAGCAGGATACAGGCTAGGTCGCGATAGGCGATCCTTCTCAGCGTGAGAAGAACACCCCCCCTCTTTCCTGCCCCCCCGGGCAGGGGAGAGAGATAGACAGAAACGTATTTACATTCCTTTATTTCTGTCTTTGCAGCGTTACAAAAATCATGACTGCTCTCTTCAAGCTCCAGCAGTCGAGAGACAAACTCCTCCTGTACTTCCTGTCCAGCTCATATTACACTCTGAGCTAATTCCGGTGACCTCTGCACTGTGAATTGACTGTCCCTCTGTTTCCCACGGAACAGTCCCAACATTCCCATTATGTTTTGCTTTCAAGCTACCAGCAGCTCGTGGCTGCATTGATTCAATATCGTAACACTGCCTGACCACAAAACTAGTAAGAACCAGTTTTGGAGGGGTCTAGCTGACTGCTAGAGTGAAAAACAGCTCCAGATAAGATGCAAGGAGGCCATTGGATGAGTGTTTTCAAGGACTGTGGTTAGAGGAAGAGAAAGTGAGGTGTTGGGGTGACAAGTGGTGGCAGAAAGAAGTTGGCTAGAACAAGGGTCGGCAACCTAAGGCTCATGGACCACAAGCAGCCCATGGGGGTCGTTTAACTGGCCCATGGACCCCTGCTGCCTGCTCGGTTGGCTCCCGTGCGCCGCACTAAATCGGCACGGAGCAGAGCAGGGACCGCCTTCCGTGACGCTGGGCGGCTTCCCTTTGGCTGCAGAAAGCTCCTGCAGCCAATGGGAAGCTGCGCACGCCTCTTCCGCGCTGGAAGGAGCGCCGGAAATAGTGTGTGCACACTCTGGCCCACCACGGCATCTGCGGGACCGTGAACCGGCTCAAGCCACAAAAACTTTGCCTACCCCTGGGCTAGAAAATAGGCGATGCATTTTCTCCTCTATAGAGACTCTCTCGGTACCAGTGTGGCTGGGAATGGCATTAGGCCTGTATCCAGAAACACCTGTGCTACCTCTTAACAAATTGTAAACAGACAGCGACAGAATACCTATGAACTGGGGAAACTGCCTGCATGGTAAAAAAGCACCTTGAAGCTGTAAGTTCTGATTCATAAACATAACTTTAATGCACTAATTTACATTTTTCTGGTGGCTACAAAGGAACCAAGGACTGCCAGTGATCAGAAGAGAAACGCTCTGATTTGCACTCATCTTCTTGTTTTCTTACCACATTTGAAAGGATTCTGAAGCAGGTAAAGGTGAACATACCTGCAGGAAATATGAGAATAATTTGCAGATACAAAAGAATGAAAATTCAGTGGAGACCTCATCCAGTATTAGGCATGTGCTTAAATTTAGGTGTACATCCTGACGGAAGCCCCCTTTGGTCAAAGTTAAGCGCCCTTAAGGCATATTGATTTCAGTGAGAGAGATGTAAGCTCATTTAACTGTTTTGTTGAAATCAACGGATGCTTAATATGGGCTCTTGTAAGAGGTTCCTTACAAAATAACTTGCCTGAAGATAAGGTAAAATTGCCCATAAGTAATTAACTTTAGCTGGATTGGGAAGTTAAAGTTATGGCTTACTTCCAGTGACTGCAATAGAACTTGTTGGTGAAGACGAACGCGTTCCATTGGTTTCAATGGGACATGCAGGGCAATTGTAGCTGGAGTCAGTATTTACTCAGAAAACAACCTTTCTGTTGAGTTACCCATGTATATAAATGAATATAGGATTGCAGCTTTATTACAACTAACTTTAGCTCTCCATGTCCCACATGACATTTCTTCCCATTTCCCCCTGCTGATATTGCCTGTACCACTTAGCATGGAAGGGCATTTTTGGCTGACATGATGATTATGCTGGCTAGTGGACTGACTTCGACAGGTAGGGTGTCAAGGCCAGAAGCAAAGGCTCTGAGAACAGATTAAATCTAAAGTTGATGAAATGGTCTGAAGTCACTGCTTGGCCATTTCCCCAGTATATAGAACATTTGAAACTAGCAGAGAAGCTTCTTTTGGACGTGCCACCCACATAAGTTTTCCTGGGAATTTACTTTCTGTCTGTCTCAATTCCCTCTGCAGTGTCAATTTATCAGCTCAGACTCATTAAGAATACATCTGCTCACAGTCTCCTGGGGACTGATATGTCTCAGCATGCAACCTCATTCGTAGGCCCCTACCATAAGCTCTTGCAAAAGCAGCATGCAATTATTAGGACTTTATTCATTTCATACTTCACACTGTTTTGCTTCAGAGTGGCTGTGAGCTGTTCAGTGGGATCTCATGAGTTGAAGTTCAGTGGGCAGGTGAAGTAATTCCTTTCAAGGTAAATGCAGTTAAGGTACCCCAGTATTCCAACATCATCCCTGCAAGTCATGATCCATCTTTAACACACCTATTATAGTTCACCTTCTAGAGGACTATCCAAAGCACAAGACTGTCATTCTTTATGAGAAGGATTTGGTTGATGCCTGCCTTCTTCTTGAAATTATATGGTTAGACAATTGCAATTTGTTATTTGTGAGGTTACCAGAGGGTAGACGTCTTCAGCTCAATTTCATTTAGAATACAGCTGTTTCTGATCTTATGGGGCTGACGCTTTCTCAGCAGGCTCCCCTTCATTTCCAAATCTCCCCACAGGCTCTTCGAACAGTTTTGATGTTATGGTTTTGTTAATAAACAAGCAACTTAGATTTAGTGCTTTTTGTTTCATGAACTTTTATTAACTTCCACTTGTTTCTCACTTTGCACTGGCTGTGGATAACAGCGATTATGTTCCCCTCAATCCCCGGTGGTGCTTTATAAAAAGCTATTCAGGTTTCATGAAACCAAAAACCAATTCAACTATAATGTGTGGGTGTTGTTGTTTTCCCCCCATGGGGGAATACATATGCCATAGAGTACAAAAATTACATGAATTTTTGGGCTGCATAAAATAGTCACCAGTTCCAATATTAAGAGTTGCCATAGACAGTTTTGGCAAGGTGTAAATTTTATCTCAAAAAGATTTAATTGATGTCCTTTTAGTTCACCAGCTGTGCCCACAGATAAGAGTGGAGGTGGGTGGGGCGCAAGGAGCAACACAGTGTCCCAGACTCAACTAACCTGGTGCACAAGTGGAAGCCAGTTCCCACTAGCACAATGAGGCTTTCTCCCCTCTCCTTCCTCTGTGTGCCCCTGCAGTTCCTCCAAGTCCATTCTGGAGGGTCACAAGAATCCTCAGAACAGTGTGCAGGGGAGGAGATGGGGATTGTTCTGTCTGACAAGAAAAAAAGCTTGTGCTGGTGGAAAAATCAAGAGAGCATCACATTGAGTTCCAGTATGCACTATGGCTGAATCCATGTCTTTCAAGAAAAGCTCTAACTATCCTTCTGAAATTTGGCAGGCATTATCCACTCAGAAGGGGTTCTGTGCCTGCAAATTTAACCAAATTCTGCCAAAAAGTAAAGGAGCCATAATAACAGTGAACGAGGAGACATTAAACTTTCATTTTCCTGAAGTGAGGCCACTTTCTGAATGGCCAAATCAAGGTTTTTCCTGAATCTAGTGTTCAGTGCACATCCTTATTTGGGGCCATGACTTTGCAATCATTTGGTTTTTTGGGGGGGCTAGGGGAAGTACTATTCTGACAAAGATGCTGCTAATGACAATACTCATATTAGTGGCTTATTGATAGCTGAATCTTATTTAGCCTTGTTTCAGAAATGCAAGAATTGGGAACAATACAGCCAAAATGTTTTATTTGGGCAATACAAATACAATCAAATCAAAAATATCACAGATTTTCATACATTAGTAAGAAGTTACTGTACACTTGAACAGTTGCCATTTTATACAGCTAACAAAGCTTTACCTTTAATAAAATGTATTTTCCTCTCACATAAAATATACACTTTTCACTGACGTATTTTACATCATACACCTCTCTGGGATAAGAAACATTTCACAAACAATGCACAACAGAGGCCATCTTCTCTAAACCCATACAAAATATTACATTGAAGCGAGAAACACTGTAATATCCTACTATAGGCTGCCGCCCTCAAAGTCATATTCTGTTGCTACTTAAAATACTACATGCATCATAAAATGCTGTACATTGATTGAAGATTGGACACATCAGATTTGCTCAGCACTCTGCATTGTACTTTAGAATGTCAAGCTTCTAGCTAGATCAGTGGCACACTTGCATCTTTCTTTGTGTCCAAATATGTGCAATTCAGATAATGGCCCACATGTTAAATACTATGTTTTGGCAGCACAACACCAAGAGTTGTTATTTGGTATCTCGGTGTGCCTTGAAGGCATGCAGTTCTGTAAAAGTTGAAGGCTGATTTTTGTTTGCAGACATTAACCCCAATTCAGAGATTGCTCTGTGTAGACATGTGAGGGGCCCTTGCGCATGGAGACACCTTTATGTACACCACAAACCCACAATGGAGCCCAGTGATGGAGGGCAGGAATGGCAGACATAAGAGACCTGCCCTCTGTACAGATAGCTCATTGCTGGATAGCATCACATTTGAGCAAAGGAAGCATCATCCAAGGATGAGGAAGCAGGTGCGCTAGGTCTTATGCACATGCTTAAGTGCATGTACACCCCCAACACTCCTCACAGTATTATGAGAATGCACCTTCTCATTTGTTTCTTGATATGGATGAAAACACCTGTATCCACGGTCTGTAAAGCTACATGCAGATTTCCATACTTGGCACGAGCCACATGCAAAGCCTAATTGCGCACAAGAATCTCTGGCTCAGGGCCACATGTGCCCATTTTATTGAAAACTACCTTGTGGTAATAGAAAAGTTAGTGTTAATCTTAAAACGTGTCCTTTGCAAAATGTATAAATCTGAACCAGGAGTCAATGGTTGCATGCTGCGGGAGGAAAAATACAGCCTTTATGGTGCCATGTTATAGATTCTGCAGTAGTCTCATGGTTTCCCTTCCTATCCATATAATAGAGAGGAGGGGTGGGTGGGAAATGTTCTCCCAGAAAACATTCTAGCCATGCTGCAACCCAAAGAACAATAGTAGCAAGCCTCTTTATACTGCAAGGTTTCTTCTATGCTTTTGATAGGAAACTACCAACAGATTTGGTTTTCCCCCCCATCAAGTGTCATCCTATTTAAAGAGCAGGCGACAGGAGAAAGTCCCTTGAATCCTGCATGGTGATGCTAGGATCTAGGCAAACCCCATGTTAAATTCAATGGGACTTGAATTCCAAGTAAGTGTTTATGAGAACGAAGGCTTAGATTCAGGACAATTTGTGATGGCAGTAGACTTGATTGACTGTGAGTCTCCTCCAGCCATGCATAATGTGCATTGGGAGCAGATTTGAATAGCAAAAATAGTATGCAAGTGAAGAGAGCTAAGCCTCCCTCCTCCCATAGCTTACCTAGTCCCGATCTGTTGCCTGAATACTTTTTCCATGTTAGTCAGACTCTGATGCAGTGAGTGAGTCTAGCCGGGACAAAACACCTGGAGAGGTAATGAATAGTGGGGAGGTAAAATGCAAGAAGAGGGTTCAGCTCTCTCCTATGTGCTCTTTCTGCATTCTGGTTGGGCCCACAGTTCTCTGTAGGTTAGTTCCAGCATTAAACCAACAGACTTGCCAGCATGGTGGATACTTTGAATCTTAGAGACTCAATGAACCTCAGGTCAAACTGCATCAATAGAATCGTCTCTCTCAGAGTTTATCCTCTTCAGTTAACCAGAATAATTCCCCCCCTGCTAAATATGAAAGGAGATTTTCGTCCTATGCATTGTATGATAGAGTAAGGAATGATACGTGGATATTAACCAAGAGTTTTGGAAATCTTTTGCAATTACACTAAGCACCTGTTTAGTTTTAGGGGATTAACCCCTCCCAATTGCACATATTAAGAAGTATCAATTTAAATGGACAGCTCAATATGCACAGTAGCTTTGTTTCCATAAGATGTTTTGCATTTTGCATTTCTCTTGTAAAGAACCAGCTTTCTAGAGACTTAAGTCCTTGACAACAATGATATAGCTCTGTTGATTTTTAAGTCCTTTGTGTTCAGTGAAAACGCAGCATTGAAATCACCATTTAGGAACATTTTTGTATTTCTACAGTTTCCCACAATACTGAACAGAAGTTGCAGAACCACAGAACCTTCTAAACTTGGACTAATACCAGAGTAGTGAATATTTGCCTGTATATTTGCCAGAATATTTGTTAGATTGAGGTAACGGTTTCAGCAAGTGTTAACCTACGTTCAAATATCAAGACTCCTTTCTGACCTCCTTTCTTATTTTGCAGAGTTTCTTTCTTATCTTGCTGTCAAACTGACTTCATATAGTAATATCCTAGGCATCCTAATCCCATTCACAGGAAGAAATTCCCCTACTAAGATTTCTTCATTTTACCTGAAGTTACATTTGGAACCCCAGACCGTTGGCATTCAGAAAATCTTACTACATCTAAATAAGGCATCTATTTATATTTTCTTTACTATGCTCCAAATAAAAGGTTTCCATTACGTCAAGAGGATATATCAAGAGAAGAAGTAAAAAGGAGAAATATGTATCTCTTGCTTAGAAGCTGACTAGAATGAAGGTCAAAGAAAAAGGCAGTGCCTAATGGATTAGAACACTAAAGACTAATGTGAACATTGCCCATCACTAAACAAAAGTGTCTGTTGTCTGATGGGAGCAGAAAGGCATGTATGAATAAGGAATGCCCCAACATAGAAGATACAAGATGCTCTTTTACCTCCTGATCTCCAGCATCAGCCATCAATGCCATGGGATTTCTTTCTAGAAAGAAACTGTTAACTTACTCCAGATTCAACATAGTGGCTTTGTTCAACTGTGAAGAATATAACTCGTAAACAATGTGAGTAAATAAATGTAGTGTATGAAAGAGCACTGACCCGGGTGGATTTTTTAATTTTTTTTGTGGGTGTCAGTGTTAATTTGAGTCCATCAAGTCAAATTTCAGAAGGATGTAGAGAACAGTCCTTCCATGTTGGCAATTGATATTTTAATTGTTATCTGATGCCATTGGGCCCATCCTTATCACATACATTTCCCCTGCCTGTGCTGCTTTCACCTGTCATGGTTGGGAAATGTCCTTCACATATCATTTGGCTGGTTCTTGACCAGAAGAAACCGTGTGCACGCTTGTGTGTATTTACAATTATTTGTGTCTTTCAATCAATGTAGTTTAATTTTGCCAGATACATCATTTCTAGCCATCTACCCAGCACTTGTTATTTAGAAGAATATAACTAACTGAAGACACATTGCTTTGAAAAAGTCCTTTTCTCCCCGCTACCACCACCGCATCGCAAAATATATTAGGTGCAATGCAGTACTTAGACTGCTCTTCCTTATTGTGAAAATGAATAAAGAAAGAGAATCAATGTTTGCCATGCACCATTGGGACACTGAAGTGAATGGAAACGGATCGATTCTCTTCTGATTCTTACCAAATCAGCCCCATGTGAACCAAAAGATTAGAACAGAATGAAGTCCAGAGTACTAACCCAAAGTTAATATCACCTTCTGTGCACATAAGCCAGACTATGTGAGTATTCTTGACTCCCAGCCGAGTGTCAGGGATGCTCTGCCAATGAAATATTTGCTATGCAAATATGTACACTGTCTCTTGGGTGGAAAGATGAAGACATGGCATTATATGACCAAGTCCATGCGGATAGAAAAATAACCGAACCTGCTTTTCCCACTGAAAGTGCAGCGTTCTATATACACTATATACAGATCTACAGAATACAACATTGGCCAGAGTGCCCAGCATGCCTCAGTTATATGTGCCATAATTTCATAAAGCAAAATTTCCATCGGTTTGCTCCTTCTATTGCCTCCTGTCTCCAGAGAAAGGATATTCAACTTTCATTCACTCTGTTCTATTTTGTTTTGTGATTTGATGTAATAAAATGAAACCTTATTTCCATTATGGGTCATTATATCTTCGCCAAGACACATCAGTTCTGACAAGTTTCAAAAAGAAATCTTTCTTGATATACCTAAGTGAAGAAAGCCAAGTTTCTGTGATTTTTTATTTTTTAAAATTGTTGGCTTTTTGCAAAGGCAAAGGGGAGAGAGATAAAGAGTGGTTGAGGCAAAGACTGGAAATTATTTTATTTAAAAAGGGAAAGGGAAAAACCTTGTAGGATAGCATTTTAAGCATGCTGTTTCTCGGCAGTGACTTCAGGCCAGGAGTTTTGGGCAGAGGTTCTGTACCCCATTGAGAATAATCATCAGGAGAGCCCTCTAAGGTGGCAGGGTTGGTTCCCCATATTTTGAAGTTTAAGTGAAGTGCACAGATTACCATCTGAAAGAGGGAGCCTCCATAAGACCGTTAAGTCCAGATGGTCGAATCCAGCTATGTCATCGCATGAACACAACAACGTCCTATTGTGCAATGGAACATCTTCTCCCTCTCCTTCCCGCATGTGCTCCCTGCCCGCTTCCAAATATGCTTCAGAGGGTTGGAGAGACCCAGAGTAGATTTGGTGCACATGTGGAAGTTGTTCTGCTCACACAACGACATCATTAGATACACTCCAGTGTTTAAAATTACGTAATTGCCCTAATGACAATTTCTTACATATTTAAAAAAATATGTAGATCTTTTAAATGCCAGTTCTTAAATTTGGGACTTTGTTGTACGAAGATACGGAACTTTTTAATATGAAAAAGACTTTCTTTAAGTATGGCAGTGAGCACCACTAAGAAATCTATCCATTAGATGTGAGCTTTAGAAATGCTTCAAGGTTCGTTTACCCTGCATAAACTGTACATCTACTGAAGCAACGGAGAAGTGCTCAAGAGAATCGCTGATGGCATTACACCATCATTGGGTTCACCATTATATCTTTGCCCAAAGAGATTATCATATTGTACAACATAAATAATTGTCTATTCGGTGCAGAAAAGCAAAATATAATACAAATGTTTGCTTTAAGTGTCAATTGTTGACATGGTTTTTTTATGCTTGAAAGTGAGAATGAAAAATGTTAGTCTCCCTTCATTCTCCTTAATGCTTTTTGACCTTATTTTGCTCTTAAGTAGCTTTTGCCATCAAAAGCTATTTGTGCAGAATGATTTCCCAAATGCGAGAGAAGCCCTACTGTGTAATACTTGCCAAATCTCACAGTGTGCAACATTACATTACAGGCAGGTTTCACTACTCACTGATTCCATTTTGCAGTCCAGCTAAAACCATCCCATAATTAAATAGCAAAGCCCATGCAGTGTAAAGGGCAAATGCTTTAAACGTGTCAATAGAAATGCTCTATATGTTTATGACTCAACTTACTTTACAGCAAAGTCAGCATAAAAATCGAACACATCTGTTTTGTTAACAATGATGACTTGAGCTAATGATTTATAAGTTAAGCATTAAAATGCACTGAAGTGTGGAAATCACTGTACAAAGCTTGCAAGCACACAGAGCCATCACTGTAGACTGACATTTACATTAGCTTTACCATCAGGGCAAAGTTAACACTTTATGTTTTGCAGCCTAAGTCTAAAAACGTTTCTTTGGAAGTAAGTCCTATTGATTTCAATCAGGTTTATTTCCGGGTTAAGCAAGCTTAGAATTTCAGCAAAATGTGCCATCGATCTTCAGCATATGCTTCAAGATTACCTAAGGCGTAACCCGTTACACCTTTTAACCACCAGGATGTGCTTACTATCAGAGTGTTTAAAAAGAGTGGATTTCTTCCATGTCCTTCTGCATGCTTATGAATGAAGCGGGGCTTCTAGTTCAGTGACTGTGTAATTAGAGGATAACAATTATTGCAGGTTCTTTTCTGCTGAATGCATGGTTGTGGATATGCATATATAGTGCTTGTGCCTAGAATGCATTCTAGACATCAATAGCTTTGAATTCTAAGACTCCAAGAAGAGTCTTGGACTGGAAAAAAACCTGGAGTTTCTTTTTATTAATGCACTCACAATTTATCAGACATACAATGTGTATCTAGGCTAAAATAAACCATGCTATTGCAGAATTTGGGCTTTTTCTGTACGTCAAGACTTCTACATAAGAAGCGACCTTATGCTGGTCAGTTAATTCTTCTTTTCTAGGTCAGTATTGCCTATTCCAAGGGACAGCAGTCAGGCCATTTCATGGCATCTGCCATTGCGGGCTGCCACCCATTGTGACTGGTGGGATGGAAAGCAGAGAACTCAAAAGCAGGTCGAGCCAATGAGAGGCAGGCGACTTATGCTAGTTTAGCTCCCATCTCCTTCCTCCTTTCTGAGTTCTACAATGGCAGAAGGCAGGTTAGAGTTTGCATGCGCTGACTGAGGTTGTTGGGGCCCCTCCCCCTTTGCCCTAATGGACCACCCACTGCTGGTCTGCTACTGGATCCTTTTGACTGGTGATGCCAGGGATTGAACCTGAGACCTTCCACATACAAAGCAAATGCTTACATTCTTGACCACTGAAATATGGTCCTCCCCCATTCCTAAAGAACCACAGTCACACAAGAATTTTTTAGTTGGGCTATTTCTCCTAGTAGTTGCTCAGTCGTCCGCATTACATATTGTAAAAAAACAAACTTGATAGTCTTTTTTTTCTGATTATGGGTTTGAAGATTTTGGTGAGGCAACAAAGGCTACTCTGTCCGAAGGAGGAAACATCAATAACAGCTCGTTTTATAAATTAATCCTAATAATAAAGTGCAGTTCACAATGAAAGCAAGCTATTATTCCCCCTCACACATAGTGTATTACAGTGTAAGATCCAGAAATACCATGTTCTGCAGGGTAGATAATAAGCAGAGTCAACTGGGGAGCTATTGAGGTCCATTGGGTAGAGCAAGGGACCTGCATCAAGAGCAACTGGGCCTCAGCAGGAGTGGCTCAGGATGGAGCTGCAGTGTTAGTCTCCAGGCAGCAGCATTGCTGTCACTCACCAGGAAGGGCCAGGTGGCCATGAGGTTGGGATTATGTGGATTTAGGCAAATCACAATGTTCTCTCGTTTAGTCATCCATCAGTTAAATAGCAATAATGATGACCATTCATGCAATGCATTTTGAAAATTAGATGTGCTAGAATAGCGGAACTAATTTACCCAGAAAGGTAAAAACAAGAATCCTCTTGTCTATCTAATGGGAGAAGGGTATCGTTTTCTAATCCTCAACTTGTTACTCTTTTAGACTACAAGAAGGATTGGGGTGAGTTTTTTAAAATGTATTTTATCAAATTTAGAACCAAAGAGATCATCCACAGACATCATGGATGACATTGTAGAAGTGGTTTTACATGGAGAAGCTCCATCTTTAAATGTAGGGAAAATTGGGGTCCACCATTTTTTAATGGAATGTTGTTTCTCCCTCACTGGAAATGCTGGGTCTACTGTATGAGTGCTCTGCATTTCTTGCCCAAAATCTTTGCCCTACACAGCACTGTCACTTTTAGTATAGGTGTTACTGAAAGGAGGCCTGATCATCACAAGAATTAGAACTTAATAGGGTTGTTCATTTGGTACAGTTTCTTTTAAAAAGCGCCATTGACCGAAACAATGAAGGCAACATGGACTGGACAAAAGTAGCATAAGAAATATGAAGATATGTAAATGTTATAGCTGCTGGGTTCAGAAAAGATAACTGGAAGTTAATAGTTGATTGGTTTGAAGCAGTGGACAATGATGTCCCCATTGACAATAAATGAAAGCCACATGAGAGCCAAGCTGTTCTCTCTGAGTGATGAAGATCATTGTGGCTAATGCCGATTTTATGTTGTCATCAATGTAAATGCTTTAGCATTATCTTACTTTAACTCTTATGGTTGTAAAATTTACAAAATAGCAAATCCAACCAAGGAACCCACCCCCCCTTAAATATATATATATATATATATATATATATATATATAGACAGGCAGAATGGTTTAGTAGATACTCTTTTAGATGTGGACCTATGAATCTAAAGTTCAAAGCCCAGATCAGTCTTGGACTGACTGGCTGGACTATATTTTCTATGTCTCAGCCTTTTTGCACCATCTGTAAAACAGGATCATTTTCATTAGTGAGAAAGTTGTCTCTCAGTGAAACATACTAGATCTCAGTGAGATGTTCCTTTCATTGAGAAGGTTAAACTAGAATGTCCAAGTACAAGGAACTTTTTATGTGGGGGGGGGGGGAGAAATATAATCATGTGATTTATCCCATCTTTATTCTGGAGTGGTACTGTCCAGGAATCAATTTTACCATGTCTTGAGCTGATTGTCTGTGTGTCTATTAGGTAGTGAAGTTCTAGATTGACTTTAGGTTTAAGTAGAATTGCCACCATAAGATTGTGAGTGAGTGCTCTCTTGCTCTCTCTCTCTCTCTCTCTCTCTCTGTGTGTGTGTGTTCGTTCACTACTGACCATGCGCAAGGGTGCTCAGCATGCTCACCAAAGGGTTTATAACGTAGACATGAGCTAGAACAGGAGAGCCCCATTATAGTGTGCATGTGATTGTACTAGCCCATTGCAGTTCTGTGCTGGGGAAATCCAAGAGCATTTCAGCTGTTGAGCTGAAGGAGTGAATGGGGGCAGCTGTAATCCAATACTACCACTTCTAGGCTGTCACAATTTTGCAGGAACGATTCAGTTATATACCACCTAATTTAGGTTGCACAATTAAAGTAGATCTGTGCTCTTGTGCAACAAGCCCACTTCCAAAAAGAAAGAAAGGATATTTATTGATGGCATGATACAGAAAGTGAAGGGAGAGTGCACTGGAAAGTGTGTGTTAATAGCAATGTCTGGGGAAGTTCCATGTAATCCAGTCAGAATGAATGCACAATAAATAGTGACCCAGGCCAACCAGCAACATGTCTACACCCCCCTCCCCCATTCTCAGTGAACAGGTTCTCTGGAAGAAGCCCCAGGAAAATATTTAGTAGAAACCTCTTCCTTCACATCATCACAGTATCCTGTACAATTTGATATCTTTTTTCCCTTTGCCCACTCAGTGAAGAATTAATTTTTTCTGTCAATTTCATCTACATTTGGTTCATTTTTACTGACAAAAGATATACCAGAACGACAAGTAATTAAGCTTGACGTACTCCAGAAGTAAAGCAAAAGTTCATAATTAAGGGTAAGCACCCTTGAAATAATCAGAAAGTGTCATTATTTGGACAGTAGTCTCAAAATTAGTAATATGAAACTTGCTATTCACAGAGAGGCATCAACACCGCATTATCACTGGCTAGTACATATCTTTCCTTTCTGGAAGTTACTGAGCCAGATCATTAGAAGGTGTAAATTAGCTGGGCTCCATTGCCTTACATTAAGCCAGTGGAGTTACATTGTCTGAGGCTCAGAAGAGACATGGAATATGAAACTTCCTATGCTTTAATGATGCAGACAGGGACGCAATGTCCACTTCTCTTACAGGGTTGCAAAACAAAGATTCGTTGGAAATGAAGACCAGGAACTGTAGAAACACTGCAGAGGCAGGTTTGCTGAACGCTGACTCTGTGCACACCATACATTTAAAGCACATGGACCCCTCCACAAAGAATCTTGGGAACTGTACTTTACCCCTAAAAAGCCATAATGCTAAGCACCCTGAACAAACTACAGTTCCCAAGAGTCATGTGCCTTAAATGCATGGTATGTATACAGGCATTGTCTACTAAGATGATGCTGGACTTTATATTTCAAAATGGATGGCTGCCACAGTGCAGCCAACTGTATTAGTCAGGGGGTTATGCGATGTCCCATTTGTAGTTACAGAGTAGTACAGGCAACGCAAGGTGCCCTTTAACAGTTTTTGTTTGTTTATTTAGCACTGTTATTATTGCACGTTTGAGGGGGTAGTGGGGCTTGAGCAACAAATATGAGAATATTGCAAGTAGACTTAAAACCGATGCTCTTCTTAAAAGTAGTGTACATCCTCACAGGACTTCTGCAGTCAGTGTGTTTTAGAAGATGTCACTGTGCCTCAAATTTCCTCCACTATTAAGTTTTACCAGGAAAGATGAGAAGGGCACCCAGAGGTATTTTCTTGCATTGGCCCAGCCTAGGACAGCCTTTGTGATTGGTTACATTTGTTCTTTGAGCTAACTTGACACTGGAACATTAACAGTGTAGGTGAAACAGGAGTGATGAAACACTTATGTATGTACAGAAATGCTCTAGTGTTCAGAACATGCAACTCTTTTCCCATTACATTTCAATATGCTGTTCAAATATGTGTCTTTTTCATCTTGTTTATGATTATAGACACAATCCTGAAGCTGTGAATGCAAGGAGGACCATGAAATCTCTCGCACCACTGTTTTTAACCTGAGTGAGAAACCTTATGTGGGTGTATTATGAGCCCAGTCAGGGAAGGAACTTGTGGGGATATTTATACTAAAAGCAATTAGGACTGGGGACGGAACTGTAATGAGGATCTTTGGAGTGGAGAACTGGCAAGAGGAGTTTTCAGGGCATAGCTTAGAGATGAGTGACAGGTGAGTCATAAGGCAAGAGGCAAGAGACTGTCAGCTATTTGGACAACAAGCTCTAGGGAGTATGGATGTCTGAGTAGTGAACAGTAAACCCACAAGAAAACCAGAAAAATGGAAAATTCATAGGATCTGCTTCCTAGAATAGCCAGTCCTCCCTTATCTCCTCGAAGCTCAATTAAGTTGGAAAGAATTGCTTCATATTTTTCTCCAGTCTTCAGTTGGGGAAGCATTTGTGGTGCAGGCCAAGCAGGTTGGCAGAGAGTCATAGTGAAGAGGGAGGGTTTGTATTCGGTCTGCGGGAAGCCATCAGGTCCAGATACTTGTCTTCCCAAAAGCCCCCAAATGCCTCAAAGGTTGTAGAGAATCAGGGGGAGAAATAACTGAGGAGATTTTTTTTGAACCCCCCCAGAAACACAAAGCACATTCATTCCTCAAAAGTTCTAGATTCTGAAGCCTCATTTTAATCACAAGTTGATTTAAATGCCATGGCTGACCCAAAGTACTGTGGAAACTACAGTTTGGTTTGTGCAGGTGCTTAAAATTCTTTGTTTGAGAGTTCTTGTCTCTTCAAAGAAGTGCAGCTACACTGAGAAGAAGTCAGCCTGATGGAAGCTGGTTCAAATTTGTCATATTGGTAGCCTTGAGATGACTCCATAACAGTGCAGAAGCCACAAAAGATCGGCTTCCCACGCACACAATAACTTGCAGGATCAAGTTTTATATTCAGTACTTTGCTTTGGGTGAACGTTAGACAGATTTGCAATGCAAGAAGGTCAGAGGATCTGTATATGTGAACACGTGGCTCCTCCAGCATGCATGGTTACAGACAAAAATTTAGTACTGAATATTACTACAGTGAGATAGAAATTACTATAGAGAGGCAGTTTTATCTGTTTCTGAGATTCATTGTTCATTACAAAGAACCACAATAAAAACAGCTCCACCACAAGCACACAACAGCATTGATTCACAGTTCCTGATAAATCATCTGAGAAGACCCCATCAA